GGGGAGCGGTCACTGGAAGGGAAGGGGCTGGGGAGGGGTCCCTGGAGGGGAAGGGGCTGGGGAGGGGTCCCTGGAGGGGAAGGGGCTGGGGAGGGGTCACTGGAAGTCGCTGGCGTCGATGTGGAGCGGGGGGAAGTCGGTGAACAGGGAGGGCACCACGGGCAGGACCGAGTCCTCGGGCTGAGGCAGGAACGGGTCCTGCTGGTCCAGGAGAGCTGCGCTGCCTGCGGGAGGGACAGGGCAGTGCCCGGGGGCATCTCAGTGCCCGGGGGGAACAATTCAGTGCCCGGGGGACAATTCAGTGCCCAGAGGGACAATTCAGTGCCCAGGGGATAGGGCAGTGCCCGGGGGACAGCTCAGTGCCCATGGGGACATCTCAGTGCCCAGGGGACAATTCAGTGCCCAGGGGGACAATTCAGTGCCCAGAGGATATCTCAGTGCCCAGAGGATATCTCAGTGCCCAGGGGACAATCTAGTGCCCGGGGGGACAATTCAGTGCCCAGGGGGACAATTCAGTGCCCAGGGGTATCTCAGTGCCCAGGGGACAATCCAGTGCCCGGGGGGACAATTCAGTGCCCAGAGGATATCTCCGTGCCCAGGGGTATCTCAGTGCCCAGGGGGACAATTCAGTGCCCAGAGGATATCTCCGTGCCCAGGGGACATCTCTGTGCCCTCCCCAGCCCCGACACTCACCGGGGCTCAGCTGGAAACTCTCCTCCAAGGCTGGCACCACGTCTGGCATCAGCCCCGCCGCCTCCAGGCCCGGCTCCAGCTCCTCCAGCGACTGCAGCAGCTCCTGCATGTCCTGAGCCCCCTGCAGCAGCTCCTGCATGTCCCGTCCCCCCTGCAGCAGCTCCTGCATCTCTCGGCCCCCCTGCAACAGCTCCTGCATGTCCCGAGCCCCCGGCAGCAGCTCCAGGTCCCGCAGCTCCGGTGGCAGCGTCCCCTGCTCCTCGGGGACCCGCGGTGGCTCCGCCGGCTGCGGCGGCCCCGAGCCCACGGCCACTGTCCCCAGAAGCGTCGCCGAGTCCCCCGAGCCCACCCGCAGCACCCGCAGCCCCCCGGGCAGCACCTGCACGGTCCCCGCGGCCCCTGGGGCCGCTGGCAGCGTCCCAGGGAAGTTGGGGACCCCTGATGCCACCTGGGGTGGCTCCAGGCTTTGGGGCTGGGGTTGCAGCATCCCCAGGCCCCTGGGCTGCAGTGACCCCGCGCTCGTGGTCACCCCCTGTGGTGTCCCCAGGTTCCCAGGGGTGACCGGCGGTGTCCCCAAGCTCGTGGTCACCACCTGAGGGGTCCCCACGGTCCCAGGGGTGACCTGCAGTGACCCCAAGCTCATGGTCACTCCCTGAGGGGTCCCCACGGTTCCAGGGGTGACCTGCAGTGACCCCGGCCTCGTGGGCATCACTTGTAGTGTCCCCACATTCCCAGGGGTGACTGGTGTTGTCCCCAAGCTCATGGTCACCCCCTGAGGGGTCCCCACATTCCCAGGGGTGACCGGCGGTGTCCCCAGGCTTGTGGTCACCCCCTGAGGGGTCCCCACATTCCCAGGGGTGACCGGCGGTGTCCCCAAGCTCGTGGTCACCACCTGAGGGGTCCCCACATTCCCAGGGGTGACCGGCGGTGTCCCCAGGCTCGTGGTCACCCCCTGAGGGGTCCCCACATTTCCAGGGGTGACCGGCGGTGTCCCCAAGCTCGGGGGCTGTGACAATGGCAGGCCACCAGGCTGCTGTGTCCCCTGCCCCCGGGGCTGCAGCTGCAGCATCTGCAGGTCCTGCGTGGCCACCACCAGCTCCTCCTCTGTCTGCCGCCGGTTGGGCGGCCTGGAGGGAGAGACAGCG